TGACCACATCATGCCATCATGATTTGAAAATACTCATGTTCACTGTAAAAGAAGGTTAAATACAGAAGAGTAAAAATTCACCCAAAATTCCACCATTTAGGGAGAGCACACTGTTAAACATCCATCTATACAGTCATAAACAAATAGCAATGAATACTTTTTAAAGGGCTCATACTATACATCTTGTTTATATCCTGTGCCTTGGGTTATATGTCCCCCCAAAACTTAATTCCCACTGTAACTGTTGAGGGTGGGAAATCTTATTATGGTAATTGAAAGACGGGGCCTTGAAGAAAGGATTAGATTGTAGGACTGTGCCTTACAGAATGGATTAATAATGGTGGTCAGGGGTGTGGTTCAGAGGGTTTGAAAAGGATAGTGAATGAAGAGGTTAGTCTCTCTGCTATGCCATTTTTGCCATATGATACCCTGCTGTCACTGAAGTCACCACCAAAGAAAGCCTTCACCAGATGTGTTCCCTGGACTTTGGACTTCCTAGCCTCTGAAACTGTAAGCAATAAATTTTGTTTTCTTTATAAATCACCCAGTTTCAGGTATTTCATTATTAGCAACAGAAATGGACTAAAACATCCTGTGTTTTAGATTACTTCCAGTTTTTCAATATTGTAAAGACTGTCATGTGATCTTACTTGTATTTATGCATATTTATCCAATTATGCAATGTTTTTAATGTTAAATAAATAAATAAAATCCTTGTTAGGAAAACACAATAGGATTAAAAAATAGAAAATGAAATTATTTCTAGCCCTGTAAAATAATTTCACTTTAAATAATCAGAGACAGAAGAGGTCTTAAAGAAATCTAGTCCCATTCCCTCATTTACAGATACAAAAACTGAGGCCTGAAAAAGTTGCTCACAATCATACAAATAGGTAAGGCAGATCTGGGTCTAAAATTGTTGCTTTGCCTCACACAGGGTGACGGAGATGCAAAAAGGACTACTCAAAGCCCATCTCTTCTGGGCAGTGAGACATCCCAAAGGGGCCAATCTCACAGAACCCTCAAGAGAGAGGCATTCCTCCTTGGGAAATTGACACTGAACTGGGGTTCTGTCTCAGTATTTATTCTCCAGGCCAGAAAGTTACAGAAAAAAAACATAGGTGGAGTTATGATTAAGTATAGTTTAACAATAGAAGCTGATAACATCAGTGAAACAACAAAGTGACATTCCATAATGCAATTTGCGAAAGGTTAAGTTGATCCACCAACAAAAGCTTGTTCTTAGCAAATACTGTTTTCCTACAGCAGTTTCCTCAGTATTTTTACATAACAATAAAGCAACTTATATCAATCAGTAGGTTAACCTGCTCTCAAGGACGTCTGTCCTTGAGAGCCAGTAATTTTGCTGTGTTACAATTCTATATTCACAACAGAGACTTTAGCCTGGGGAAAGTTTCCTGTCTTTTGCAAGTTTAACATTTCCAGATGTAATTTTTAAAAGTTAGGTTATACCTGAAACTACAGGGCTTTGGAAACTAGGCCCTGTGAAATGCATTTGCTTTATAAATGTTAGTATACTCCACATAAAATCAAGGTATATTAAATTCTATTCCAAAATCATGCTCTCTTTAAGCACTTACAGTCTCAAACACACAGCATCCTGTTTTAATATAAATTGTACTGAGAAATAGTCCATTAATCAGATTCCGACCTCTAGGCAAGATTTTTCATTCTGTAGGTGTTTATGAATATGTGTGTGTGTAATGGTCATTGCTACGTTTTCATCTGCCCTATATCCCTTCTTTTAGTGAACTGCCCCTCTGCCCCTCCCTCACTCTATGTAATTCTGCTGGGGTTATTATCTTCCCTGACACAGGGTGGGCCAATGACTCAGGTTAACCAAAGTGCCCCATTCTCCTGGACACAAAAACTGATCCAAACTTGGCCTATCAGAGGCGTCTGGAAAAAGCAATTTGGTTGTTGGGGAAATGGTAATTTTTTCTGGGTCACTACCTGGTTGGTTGATGAAAGCCCGGAGTTTCATATGGCCATCTGTGCCATCAGGTAATGAGATCCAGCAAAGAGAAAAATAGAACATCCATACCTTCTATTGATATTGATTCATTAGACCTCATCTAATTTAAGTACACACTAGGCTCAGATGTTAGCAAGTGATCTGGTACCAAATGATGAACTCGGTTAACCAGGTTTTCTTTCAAAAATGTGAATTACAAAACAGAAAATATTGAATAGTTAACAAAGTGAAGAGCCAGGAGACGGCATCAGAGCCCTATAGGGTAATGGAAAGACAAGCAGACGGAAGCAGATGTCATACAGATGTCCCACAAGATAGAGGAAAGGAGTAGCATATCTCTAGCACTTCTTAGATTCCTCCCAGTTTTCTAGGTCTGGATGCATACAAGATATGAATGATCCTCTCATTTGAAACATATTTACAAGGAGCCTGCAAATGTTTAATATATGTGATCAACTATATTATTATAGAAAAATATTCACTTCCTCCTTGCCGCCTCCAAGGAAAGAGTATACTTCCCTGTTAACTTTCAGCTTGACCAATTATCTTACTTTGGCCAACAGTATGTCAGCAGACATGACATGAGCAGTGGCTTAAAATGTGTTTACGTGGTTGGACTTGATCTTTGATACTTCTGCCATCATCATGAGAACATGTCAGCCAACCGATACAAGGATTAGAGGCTTGTGGACCAAGTGTGCAGCATAGATCCACCCAGCTGACCACAGCCTATGTCAGTCAACTCCCAGGTGACCCCCAGAAGCACAACAAAATAAATTCTCACTGTTGTATGCCATTACGATGTTGTGGCTGTTTGTTACTCAGCAATAGCTAACTACTATGATACACTAAGGACTAGGTGCTACGTGACACTTACTCTCAGGCTTTCCACACTTAACAATATCTACTAAAAACCAACTAGCTAGACCCTGTGCCAGGTGCAGAAAATGGAAATTAATAAAACATCATCTTTTCCCAGGGGGAACTCCAATTCTAATGAGAAAGACTCTGATCAAATGATCATAAAACAATATAATAAGGGGTTCACTGGTGGAGTGGGCTTAGAGTCAGCCCAGAGGCATTAGGGGTGACTTCACAGAAGAGCAGATTGGAATGGAGGTGTGAAGAATGAACAGTTATTCACTGCTATGGATTCAATGTCTCCCCAAATTCACTGAAACTTAATCCCCACAGTTAAGAGGGTGGGAAATCCAATTATGGTATTTGAAAGGTGGGGCCTCTGAGAGGTGATCTGATTGTGAGGGTACAGTCCGATGGTTTAATGGGTGGTAATGGGTGGGTTCTAGGGTCTTTAAAAAGAGAGCAAGTGAGGAATTAGCTCTCTCTCTCTTGCTTAGCCTTTTTGCCATGTAATACCCTGTCTCTGTGGAGAGTCACTAGTCCCAAGAAGGCCCTCACCAGATCTGGACTTTGGACTCCCCAGCCTCCGAAACTGTAAGCAGTAAGTATGGTTTCTTTACAAGTCACCCAGTTTCAGACATTTCTACTATAAGCAAAAGAAATGAACTAATACACTCACCATGTAGAAAAGAGGATAAAAACACTCTAAGCAGGCACCTGTGTATAAAAATATTAAATGTCAAAGCATGTGGGAAGTTCATATGGCAGCCATAGCTGAAGCTTGTCCTTGTTCTGATTATGAACACTTATCAACATAAGTGCTGTTCAACTTGAGTTTTTACTATATTAAGAATCACTGAAGTCATGTCTCAGAACAGAAAAAGAGGATAGTATATATCACAACAAATATACAAAGATTTGATTAATTTAAAGCCCTAATTTAGTACTTTGATAATTCCATTTTAACAGATGTTTATTTCACTATAGACAGTTCTTATGATGATCTGTGAGGATATGCATATTACTATCCTGTAATACTATTTGCAACATTAATAGCAAAATCAGGTCATTAATTCTCTAGAAAGACTGTCAATGAATCAGTAAAGAAATTATTTTACTTAACTGTAATGATCTACAGTACTTAACTCATAACTCTAATGAGTTATGTCATAACGACACTAAAAAACACTGTATGAAAAGGTGACTAGAGTCAACTGCAAAGCTAACCCTCCAAGTACTAAAAGCACAATCTCAAGTAAGATGGCAATAGCTGGAAAGCTCTTCTCCAAATACAACAGTGAGAAATGGAAAAATATCCTTGAGTAAAGTTTTCAGCAGGAATCCTCTGGCAGAGGCATAATACTGGTGTGTAAAAACAATAAACAGACTTCAAGTAGTTTGCAAAGAAAGTCAGTGATCACAAATCAGAATTTCTGTCAAACTTGCACACAGTGAAGTTATGAGAATCAGCAACCACTCTCAAGTACTAGAAGATGTCCCCCGTCGGGGACACCGAGAATCTCGCTGATCGCTTCAAACTACAAGATCAACACTTAACTTTCACATTCCGGTGACGGGGAGTGGGGGGCAGGGGCAGGTAGCTCTTCCTACTCCCTTCACCCTCCGCTATACGGAAGAAACCGAGGGAACACGTGCCATGTCACTGTCCCAACAGTCAACCACGCTCATCTCCAAGAGACTTGGGGCCGAAGGGTGCAGACTAGGAATCGGTAAATAGAACCAGGCTGGGAGTTAAGAGGCAAGAAAAAACCTGAGGAAGAAGGTAAAACAGATGCCGGGAAAGACCAGTATGGTGTGGGGAGCGGCGCTCCCACCCATCACACCGGCGAGCAAAGGGAAAAGTCCCTCAGACTCAGACGAATGTCTGGAAGGGGATCTTCTACTTCGATCTGAGTTTTCCTGAACATCAGCCATGGCTTCGCCCCTCCCCACCCAAACCTCGCCTTATTTCTCCTTTTTGGTGGGACCCTTAGGTGAAGCAAGGGGACGCTTCCCAGGTGACTCCCGGCAGACTGAGAGGGAACTCCCAGAGCTGCCAGGAGAGAGCTGCGGCCGGTCGCTCACGCGGTACCTGCAAGGGGAGTGGCCAGAGGCAAAGTGAGGCGAGCGGGCTCCCCCTCACCTGCTTCAAGAGCTTCCATCGGGCGGCTCCCAGGGGCGCCGAAACTGAGGGCCCCGGAGCGGCGCCACCACTTGCCAGTCCCCTGTCCGCGGCTTGCTGAGTCTCGCCAGCCCCGGCGTCCGCGACTCGCGACTCCATCCCATTCGCGCGGTCTATACCCGGAGGTGCCGCCGTCACAGAACTCCCCTACCAGGACCTACTTACTTCTTCCCTGCCAGGACCTGTGACGCCCAGCCTCTCTCCCACGGCACTAGCGTGCACGCCCTCCCCGAATTCCGCATTTCCGGTAGTCGCGTCTCCTTGGCAACCAGGGCAGCGCTTCACGTCATTGCACCATTTTGCTGGTGGCCATCTTGAGTGAGGGCGAACCAGAGGGGGAGGGAGCTGTGGTAGAGCTTGTGGGACGCTGTCTCTCATTGTTTTCTTTCGTCCGCTGCTTCGTCTAGAGCTCAGAAGACTAGTAAAGAACAAAAAGTTTTACAGTTTTGAAGACTAAAGAACCGGGGGAGAAAAAGCCCATCCGTGCCCTTAACAAAGATGGCGAAATCTGCTTAGTGCTCGTGCTAGATTGGGGGTTACGTACACCGGCGTGCTGCAAACCAGCTCTGGGCAGCTCTAGATAGGTTGTCGTTCTACTAGCCGCAGAACGCAGACCGCAGACTTCGGCTGGACGCAGCTGAGGTAACGTCTGCTTCTGCTACACAGCATCAGGATCTCCGACCTGCCTTCACTCGTTTGAGCCCAGCGCCGGACTGACTCTATTTGCGTACGTATGGGATTGTGTGCTGGGGTGTCTCTTCCCTTCTCCCCTTCCTCTCCCCCACCCCGCCTCAGTCCCCCTGGTCCTCGATTTTTGACCTGTGTGCGTTCACCGCGTGGCACCTGGTACCAGTCTCTCTCGCACTCAGATCACCTCATCCCTGGGGTGGAGAGTTGCACAGGCAAAACGAGTAGATTCTCCTGGGAACACCCATTTGTCTACCCCTCCCCCATACTGAGTTCTTCCTGCGCATAAAAGATGGGTGGATTGAGGCTGTAGCGACAGATATGATGATTTAGGACCCTTGCAGGCCCCTGTTACTGGGCCCACCTCCCCTTTTTTTTTCTTTTTTCTTTTTTGGCAGTGTCGGTTGCTGCTCCCCTGTCCCTACTCGCCCGTTATTTTGCTACGACATAGAATGAGATTAAGTGGGGTGGGGGTGTCGTAGTGAATCAGATCTGTGGTAGATCTGACACGGTATCCTATCTTTGATACCAATGGGGCATTTTGTGAAATGCTTCCTTGATGACATTCAACAGTGTGCAACATACCTAGATTATTCCTATCCTTATAAAGTAGGTACCCTTTGAGTGGTTACTACGTGCCAGGCACTGTATTAAGGTCTTAACATAAATTGTCCCATTTTAGTCTTACAATATCAACAACCCCAGAAGGTAAATGGCGTCATTATTTCGGTTTTGCAAGCGAAGACTCTGAAGCTCAGAAACACAGGCAGTTAAGTGCAGGAGCCAAGACAGGAACCCAATTCTGACTCTTCACTACTTAACTAACTTTCAAGGTTAATAGAAACCTGTCTCCCAGCAAAAACCAGATATGGCCTCACAATGTATTTGCTCATCTTGTAGTGTTTTGTTTTGTTTCTGTTTTTTAATTAAAGCACAAAATACCTTTTTAACTTTAAAGTCCAATAGTTAATGATGTCCAAGATTTGGAGCCAAATCAGATTAGACTTTTGCTGTACTACTGTCCAAGTGACCCAGGGCAGTTACTTACACCTCCCAGAGCCACAGTTTGCTCTCCTGTAAAATGATCATATTATCTACTTTAACAAGTCCTTATGAGGTTTATGTTAGACAAAGTAGATGAAAGCATCTGGCACGTAGCCAACACTCAAATGTTAATCCCCCCTCCTCCCCTTTTATTAAGTATTTAGGCTTTTCCAGTTTATCTTCCAAAGACATACCAAAGATATGTTCAGAGTTATGTGAGATCAAAGCCATTTTTGCCTTTTAAAACCCTCACAGTTCCTGTTAAGTCCATGTACTTATTTGCAAATTTTTATTTTGTTTCTTATTTTCTGTTTTTTGTTTTAGTTTGCCCCTATGTGTACCAGAATCAGTGCTGCATAGTTTGAGCCTGATAGGATTGACTTTACGAATGAGACATTTAAGTCGCATCTGCCAAGAAATATGATTTGAATGACTTTAACTTATACACGTTTTTAGATTTATTTAATCTAAGTTACCAGCTGTCTGCAGATATCCATAACCTAAAGGGTGCCTGGCCCTGAAGGGAGGGGATAAGAACTTCCGATCATAGATGGTCTGAGAACCCACTACTGTATGATCATATCTGTGAAATCATTCATGTGCTGGCAGCCCCAAAGGGTGCATAAACCAGGGACTCTGATATCATGCAGCAGAAGACCAAATTATTTCTCCAAGCTTTGAAGTATAGTATTCCTCACCTTGGGAAATGCATACAGAAACAGCATTTGAATCACTGTAACTTCGCTGATCATTATTACAATAGAATAAAGTTGAAAAAATATCACCTAACCAAGTGTCTGCAGAATAAACCCAAGATATCAGAGTTAGCAAGAAACATCCCAAGTCGGAGCTTCTCATGTAAGGTATGAACTATTTAACTTACTTGTGGGTCATTAAGATTAATTTTAGTTTAAAAATAAAGAATAAATAAGATGTTAGAGCTACTGATTTTCTCAGTAATTCTAACTTGATGTTTTAAATTTTCAGGCTCAATTGTCTGTAGTCAAATAGAAGTATAAAAGAATACATAAACATATTTATAGAGTGCTAATGTAGTATATAAAAGTGTAGATTTACAAAAATGATTCACCTCAGGACTAACTTAGTGTGCCTGCCAGTGCATTTAAAAGTATAATTCAGCTTTCTAAAATTCCTAGAATACCAAATTACAGATCTTAATAAAATCTAATAATATGCTAATTGTATGAATCTCAAATCAGTAAACTTTAGTGAAGGCCATGTAATTGTGTGTTATTTCTCTATTAAAAAAAAAGAAAAATGATCTTGCATTTTTGACTGAGTGGGTCCTGTCATACTGTCTTTCTGCCAGACCCCATGCCGTAGGTGTGAACTCAACCCTGAGACCTGATTGCCATTACATTTAAAGTGCCACATATCCCAGTTTGCCTGGGACAGTCCCAGTTTGTACCTGTTATCCCTGTGTAATTATTAATAGTGTCCCCTTTCCTCTCAAAAGTGTCCTGGTTAGGATGGTAAATTATATGGTCATCCTACTTATTTCATATTAAGCTATCTGTTTATTCTGCTGCCTCTTTGACATTCCTCCCCTACATTTTAGTTGTTATGTTCCTTAAGTCCTTTAAGTTACATATGGGGGTGATATTCTTGCAATATTTTAGCATATTTTATGATTTTAATATTTTAATTTCTGGCTTTGTTTTGTTGCATACTGGTTTTTTCTTTTAGTCTGTTTTGGCTTTCTCTTTTCTTACTGTGATAAAATATATATAACCTGAAATTTGCCATTTTAACAATTTTTAAGTCTGCGATTCAGTGGCATTAATTACATTCATAATGTTGTGCAACTCTTACCACTATCTAGTTCCAAAATCCTGTCATCACCCAAAAAATGTATCCATTGAGCAGTAACTCCCTATTCTCCCTTTTTCCCAGCTCTGGTACCTCTAATCTACTTTCTGTGAATTTACCTGTTCTACGTATTTCTTATAAGTAAAACCATACAATATTTCTACTTTTGTGTTTGGCATATTTCACTTAGCATAATATTTTCAAGGTTCATAATATTTTCAAGGTTGTAGCATGTATCAGAACTTCCTTTTTATAACTGAATAATATTCCGTTGTGTATATAAGCCATATTTTGTTTATCCATGTAACTATTGATGGACACTTGAGCAGGTTATTCTCTTTTTAGAAACTATCTTTTTAACCTTATTTTACCCATCTTTTCTAGTTTTTATTCAATTTTTGTTCTTCTCTTAGCTCATATCTATTTGCTGTGTGTGTTTCTTTTGCTTTATGCTTCTTATCTCTTAGTCCCCTTAGACATTTTAGACATTTACTCTCTAGGTTTTAGTCTTTCAAATTATTTTCCTTTTTATAGCATCTTAGCTTAATTTAGCACTTTGATCCTTTTTTTTATTTTGGAGGTTGGCCAGTAAGCGGATCTGAACCCTTGACCTTGGTGTTACTAGCACCGCAATCTAAACAAGTTAGCTAACTGGGCAGTTCAGCACTGTGATTCTTACTTAATTCACTTAGAAATTCTTTATGCCTTCCTTTTTATTTTACCTTCTTCTACTTTAGAAAAATAAAATTTTTTTTTTTTTAGATCATTTTATGTTGCATTGTGTTTAGAACATTTTGTTGTCATGTACTTTATCCTAACTCTTAGTTTATAAATAGTAGGAAGGAATTACTGTCAGGGTGAAAGCTGTGAGATTAGCTTACACCCTGTATAAAAGGTTGACTATTTTTTTTCCCTGCATTTGTCCCTGAAGCAACTTTTCAGTTCTCTTTCATAGATTCCCACTACCCAGAAACTTTAACCTGACTCAGTGACTCCAAGAAGAGTAGCTCTTTTAGTAATTCTTTTACCTAATAAAGTAGTCCCACTTTCACATGACATGTATCAACCATTCTTCCTATGAGAAGTGAAATGATCTAAAAGCTGTGGTCTTTATTCTTTATCATCACTGAGGGCTGGAGAAGCTTTATAAAGATATCTCTGTAGCTGTGAAAAGACCTCTAGACATTTACTTCTTTCAGCAAGCATCCACTGAGTTCCAATTTTGTCCACTCTTACAGGTTACAATAAAGTAGAAAAAGTAATTAATGCTTTTAGGCAAATTAAAATATATCTGCTTAAAGACTTGTCTGTGTAAGTTAATTAAAGAACAAGAGAAGGCAGCATGTATAATAGAAATGCCAGAAGGCAAAATGTCTAGCCATGACTTGTATGACTGTGTATTAATTAAGCACTTTTAATTTCCCTGACTGGAAAAAAATAAGGAGTTTCAACTTGGACACTTGAGCAAGTTCTCCGAAAGTCCTCTGAGTGCTAAAATTTCATGATTGTACACCTCTACCATGTTACCTTAGCAACAAATTATCACCTCTTAATTTGGGACTCTTCAGTACCAATTTCTGCAGTCTAGCTGTA